TTGTCCTTCTCTGCCTGACTTATTTCGCTCAGCATAACACCCTCAAGGTCCATCCATGTTGCTACACATGGCCAGATTTCATTGTTTCTCATTGCCGTGTAGTATTCCATGGTATAGATAAACCACATCTTATTGATCCATTCATCTGTTGATGGACACTTAGGCTCTTTCCATGTTTTAGCTATTGTGGAGAGTGCCCCTGGATTTTGTTCTTAATCCAGTATGAGAATCTTTGACTTTTAACTGTCCTACATAGAAATTGTTAGACTTCCTGAACCCAGCAATTGAGAAAATTGTCTTTAGTCAGTTGAGAAAAAGTTTCAGCCAGTAACTTTTCAAAAATTGTTTCTGCCTCAATTCCTCTTTTCTCCTTTTCTGAAACTCCAGTTAGATAGACATTCTCATTTTATTTATTTAGTTTTTCAATGTTTTATTTATTTCTGAGAGAGAGAGAAACAGTGTGAGCAGGGGAGGGTCAGAGAGAGAGGGAGATACAGAAGCTGAAGCAGGCTCCAGGCTCTGAGCTAGCTGTCAGCACAGAGCCCGACATGGGGCTTGAACCCACAAACCATGTGATCATGATCTGAGCCGAAGTCGGACACTTAACCGACTGAGCCACTTAGGTGCCCTGACATTCTCATTTTCTATTCTGTGTCTCTTAATTTCTCTTATATATTTTCGTTATCTTCATGTACATTATTTTGGAAATTTTTAGCTCACCCACTCTTTAATTTGCTGTTAAATTCATTTATTGAACTTTTTTATTCCAGTCTCTTTTCTATTTTTATTTTTTAATTATTTTATTTATTTTTTTAAGTAAACTCTTTGTCCAACATGGGGCTTGAATTCACATACATGAGATCAGGAGTCACATGCTTTGCTGACTGAGCCAGCCAGGCATCCCTCTTTTCCATTTTTTAGAGGTTCTGTGTAGTTCCTTTTCAGGTGTCTCTTAGAGGACTTCTTACTATGACCTTTTGCTCTTTACTGTATGCCACACTTGACTTTTCTGTATGTGATCATAGCAACACTTAAAAACTTTGCTGGTTTGATTCATGCTGTTTGTTTCCACTAGCTCTTGTTCATAGTGCCTTGTTTGTAATTTAAAAATATATATATGTACACACTGAATTCATATTCTTCAGAACTTTGTGGGAAACTGAGTTTGGGGTTGAAAGCGTTTTCCGCAGAGGAAACATTTGGTTAAGATTCTGAGGGCATTACCAGTCTGGGACTGCTTTAAATTCTGAGCCTGAGGATTTTTTTGAGCACCAAAGTGCTATATATTCAACAAAAAATCCTACCAGATTAAGCCTGGTTTGAGGTCATGACTAATCAGGAAGGATTTCTTGCCTGTTTCACCCAGTGCTGGGGCACCAAGTATATTTAAAATAATACTTTAAAAAATTTTTATCTTCTATTTTTTTTTAAGTAATTGGGTCAAATTAGGGTATGTTAGTCTGCCATACTGTTGGATATGGAAGTCCCTGTCATAATTCTTCTATCTGTTGGTTCATATCTCTCCCATGAGCTTTCCTGGTGTAATATGAAATTGGCCCCTGTACTCAAAAGGCAGGTAGAGACCAAAGAAACAGGCCATTCCAGGTTGGTAGGTGGCCATTTTCACAAGCAGAGGGCACCTTATCTGAGGTGGCAGCAAGATGAATGGATCTGCGCACCTGCCCACTAAATCTTAAAAGTTTCTAAGAGGCTTTCACTGGGTCCAGTCACACATGCTGTGTAGATATTTTCAGTATCACATGACTATCCCAAGGTTATGTCCTTAGAGCATCCTCTGGGAGCAGGAAAGGCAAGTGACAGGGAAGAAGGCGAGGAGCCTTTGAGTGCCCAGAGTCCAGTTCACAGATCAAAGGGCAAACCTGTCTTTTTTATCACATTCCCTAATACTATCTATTACCAACCATTGTTGTCCATTTTTTTTCTTTTTTTAGTTTTTAATTTTGGCAACACAATATAAAATTTACCCTCTTAATGATTTTTTTAATGTTTATTTTTGAGAGGGAGAGAGAGCAAGCGTGAGCAGGGGAGGGGCAGAGAGACAGAACCCGAAGCAGGTTCTGTGCTGACAGCAGAGAGTGTGATGTGGGGCTCGAACTCAAAAACTCACGACCTGTGAGATCATGACCTGTGAGATCATGACCTGAGCTGAAGCTGGACATTTAACAAACTGAGCCAACCATGCCCCCCCGCCCCCCCCCCCCCAATGATTTTTAAGTATACAGTTCAGGAATGTTAACTGTGTTCACATTATTGTGTAATGGATCTCTGGAACTTTATTATCTTGCAAAATTGTTGACATTTTGGTTGAAATGTCTTGCAGAGTGTGTACATTGTATGTAAAAAGGCTAGGGGTAAGAACAAGATACTGAAATTATCTACCTATTCTCTCTTGACAAAATTATGAATGATTTTTATTTTTTTATTTTTCTTTGTGTTTTTGTATTTTATGGTAAACCTATGATTTGTGTCCTTGAAAAAATTGTGTTACATATTCAAACTGTTACGTGGAACAGTGTTAATTCTTTCATGGGATATTTTTCTTAGAACTTCAAATTTAGAAATTAAAAAGGTATAGTAAAAGATCAAAATGTGTTTTTTTTGTGGGTTTTCTTTCTTTCCTTTCTTTCTTTCTTTCTTTCTTTCTTTCTTTCTTTCTTTCTTTCTTTCCTTCTTTCTCTTTCTTAAATACTTACTCAAGCTTATTTAACTGCTCTTATAAATTGTAGCAGGATTAACATAGCTTCAGCCTATTTAATTACCAACTTTGCTAGGATGGCTGAATTATCCATATGATAATATTGATGTATATAGTGCCCTCAGTTTTCAACTGGACTGCTGATATATATCACAGTTTAAGGCTTCTCTTCCTTGTTCATCATTTATCTGCGTCAATAAAAGGACTACATTTTATGTACCTTGAGTCAAAACTGAGTGATACAGCAAATGTGGGCTTTTAAAAGGTTGCTCTTTATATTTTCATAAAAGATCTTTAAGCTAAATTATGATATGAGAAAAGCAAGGCAAAGAATAAGTGTATATTATATGCCAACTACTGTAAGAAGAAGGAATAAGATTTGCTTGATTGTATAAGGAAGCTCTGGAAAGCTATACAGAATCTTATTCATACTGATTATGGAGATGGAGTTGGACATAACACTTTTATTTTTGAATTATGAATATTAATAGCTTTTGTAAAATAGTGAATTGAGAACTTAGAAATAAACTGATCTCATTTTCTCACATAAAATAAAAATGTAATACTTCATGTGTATGGTAATTATTTCCTTCCTTAGGCCAGTAATACACAAACTATAGCCCACAGAGCAACCCTCCTTTCCCTTCCTTTTTGTAAATAAAGTATATTGGAACACAGCCATGTTCATTTGTGTATATGTTATCTGTGGCCGTACTTTTTCAGCTACGGTGGCAGAGTTGAGTAGTTGAGATACACATCTTATGGCCTGCAATAATTATTAACTGATTCTTTACAGAAAATTTTTGTAAAGAATTGACCCCTGTGTTAGATCTTATTTTTAAATTTTCAGCAGTAGAACCCTTTGTTCACAATCATTTTTATATGGACTTCTATTCTTAAAATATATGGTTATACTTACAGAAGTGAGGTTAGGGGACAGGTTGGTTGAACCCTGCCTACTCACCTGCCTCCCTCTCTTTTTTTACCCTCCATTCTCCAGCAGCTGTTTCTTGAGGGGAATTTGAGGAACCCCCGGGGTTCTAAGGAGTACAGTTTGAAAATGACTGCCTTACAACAACTCTTTGAGGTAGTAAGTCTGATATTATTTTCTATTTTAGGTATTGAGAGACTCGGCTCATAGAAGTGAGTTAGTCAAGGTTTATTAAGCAACCAGAACACAAAACAAATCTACAGAGTTTAATTGCAGAATAAATGGTCATATTTGCCTTTATATTCTGTTTTATATGATCATAATCATGTATTAATTGTTTTTCTAAGGTGTTTTAGTAGACATTTAACTTTTTTGTACCCCCCCCCCTTTTTTTTTGTTCCATGCAGGTTTTTGTAAGGCAAGCTTCCTTCCTTTATTGGAATTTGCCTATACTTCTGTGCTAAGTTTTGACTTCTGTAGCATGGCTGATGTAGCCATCTTGGCTCGTCATCTTTTCATGTCGGAAGTTTTAGAAATCTGTGAAAGTGTGCATAAGCTAATGGAAGAGAAGCAGCTAACAGTATATAAGAAGGGTGAAGTACAAACAGTTGCATCTACCCAGGACTTACCAGAACAAAATGGAGGCACCGTACCTCCTGTGGCTACCAGCGAGGGGACCGCAACAACATTACCTACTGAACTTGGGGATTGTGAGATTGTACTATTGGTGAATGGAGAATTGCCAGAAACTGAGCAGAATGGGGAGCTAGGACAGCACTCTGAACCCCAGGTTTCTTCAGAAGCTGAAGCCACTCTGTCACCTGCAGGCTGTATAACTGGTTCCCATCCTGAAATGGAGTCTGCTGATTTAGTAACAAAAAATGACGAGACAGTAGTAGAAACTTTAAACAGAGAAGATAGCGCAGCTTCTGATATTAATCCCAAACTTTCAAAAGAGAATGTGATCAGTAACTCTCCAGAAGACAGTAATATGGGAAATGACTCACCAACTGAAGATATCTGTGCTGAAGACATTCCAGAGCATATGCAGAACCTTACTCAGTCCTTAAAAGATCAGGAAAATCTGGTTGCGCTAACAGCAAAGCCCGACCTTAGCACTGATGATGAAACTTACAGAAGCAGGCTTCGGCAGCGTTCTGTTAATGAAGGGGGATATATCCGACTACACAAAGGAATAGAGAAAAAGCTACAGAAACGGAAAGCCATTCCCAAGTCAGCAGTTCAACAGGTATGATGAAGATTTGACCTTTGTAGTTTTAGCTTTAAGTCAAAAAGCATTTAAGTCCAGAGCATTGTATTCATGAACTTATACCTGTGGTGAAATTATTTTGGGAGGAAGGGCAGTAGGTGCAGGAAAGCAACTTAACATTTCAAGTACCAGTATTAATAAAATAATGTCAGTTTGAAATATTACCATATGACTCATGACTTTAAAAATCAAAATGACTGTATTTACTTAGATTGTGTTTTCTATCCCTTAATTAGGTAGCCCAGAAATTAGTTCAAAGAGGGAAAAAAATGAAACAGCCAAAAAGGGATACGAAAGAGAATACTGAAGAAGCAGCATCCCATAAATGTGGGGAATGTGGAATGGTTTTTCAGAGACGATATGCCCTTATAATGCATACACTGAAACACGAAAGAGCTAGAGATTACAAATGTCCGGTAAGTAATTGGAAAGCTGATTAAAGATGGCTCTAACTTCATGATAAATAGAGCCCAGTCTACTGCTTCATTGTTACTCTACTACTTGTATTCTGTTTCCCTGTGTCCCTTATATTGTTGTAAGAGTCATCTTTGATTTTGATGTGTCATTTCCTTAACAAAAAAACAAAACCAGCGACCTATCTTTGCTTCTTTCTGATGAGTAAAATTATCATTGAAAAAATAGAAGCTCAAGGGTGACTGGCTGTCTTAGTTGGTAAAGCATACGACTCTTGATCTCGGGGTTGTAAGCTTGAGCCTCACATCGTGGGTAGAGATTATTTGAAAATAAGTCAATAAACTTAAACAAAAATATAAGCTCATAGAAGAGTAAAGAGACAGGAGATAAACTACATTCTAGACCCTGATAAATGGAAGTAGTAACTAACTTAACAGATTTTAAAGGACTCATTCCAGGCTTTCAATGGGGAAAGCTAAGAATCCATCTGAATTGCATTACAGAACTACCAAATGCCTCAGGAGTTAGTGTCACTAGCTACTTTGAAAGCAGAAGTGAGTCTTGTTGCTAGAAAGTTTTGTAAGAAGTAATTAAGTCACAACCACTCCCTCAAAAAAAACCATGCCTATTCTGGGGAACACTGCATACAATGAATGTACTACACCCAAAAGAAGGAAAAGGAAAACCTTATATACTGAATATTGAAACCTTTCAAGTCCTCTGTGCCTTCTCAAGTCCCAGAATGTTAGCAGTCAGACCCTTAACCCAAAAGCAGAAAAGTTTCTCAGAGATGAGACATCCGAAGTGCAATAACAAAGGACCTGAAGGTAGTACTGACTACAGCCTGTGGTTGACAACTCACCGCCACCCCCACATACTTACATAGAAATTCCAATCAACTTTTTCACATTCTGAAATATGAGTTAGATAGTAGGGATCATCAGATTCAGGAATAAATATTTCAAGAAAAAAGGCAGCTTTGAAGAATCCACAAATATAAAAATATTAGAAAAATTGGGAAATAGACCAAATCTCTCAGAAATAATACAAAGACCAGTTTGAAAATGAAAGTGAAGGAATTTAGAGAATTGGTGTAGGATGTCTAATATGCAGATAACACCAAACAGAACACAGAGATCAGGAAATCGTTGGTGCAATAAAGAATATCAGACCTTAGAAGTTTCCTTATGGGGCCACCTGGGTGGCTCAGTCAGTGTGCAACTCTTGATTTTGCTCAAGTCAGGGTTGTGGGATTGAGTGCTCCACACTGAGAATGGGATCTACTTGGTATTCTTTCTCTCTCTCCCTCTCACCTGCTTGTGCTTGTGCGCTCTCTCCCTCTCCCTCTGCCCCTCTCTGCGGCTTGCTCTCTCTCTCTCTAAAATTTAAAAAAAATTTTTCCTTGTGAAAAATGGCACATTGCAGGCCCAGAACCATGGATGAAAATAAATCTATATCAAGATAAATTATGAAGTCTTCAAATTAAGGGACAAAGAAAAAATCTTGTAAATAACGATAGAGAAAACAGATGGTCAGACTCATAGAAAGGATAAAGGTCAGAAAGGCTTCAGGCTTTTCAGCAACATCGGCGGAAGCTGAAAGACAAAGGAAAGCATTATAATGTCTTTAAAATTCTAAAGGGCAATGATTTCTAACTTAAAATCTGTAACCAAACTATGAATTATTTATGATGGTAGAGTAAGAATATTTTCAGACATGCAAGGTCTCAAAGTTTTACCTCCCAAACTCCCTTTCTCAGGAAGCTATTTGCAGAGGTGTTCCACTAAAATGAGCAAGACTTGGGGAACCAGGAAACATGGGGTCCATTCTACAGAGTCCAAGCATAGCAAACAACCAGTCCAGGTTGGAACAGGACAGAATGGTTTGAAGGAGATCTCTTTCATAAGGTGATGTCTTTAAATCTCCCCCAGTAGATAATTGAGGGAAGGGTTTGGTGACGAATGATCCGTAAATACAAAGAGAAATAACCAAAACAGAAAACAAAAAAGAAGGGGAAGAGAATCATAGTATACACTATGGCCCAGCTGTAGTAGTAATTACATCATTGAAAAAATGTGAACATAGAAATCAAAACTAAAACATAGCTATATTGAGAAACTAAGGTAACAGGAAGGGTCTGCATATGTGTAGGGAGTGGAGAGGTGAAGGGAGAGATTCATCATCCATTATTCAAGTTACTTAGAGTTAGCAGGGTAAGCATTATGAGAGAGTTAAAAAAAAAAAAAAAAAAGCCAGAAATAGTAGAGCAAGAGACGAGTTTTATTTATTTAAAAAAATTAAATATTATAGATTGCAAATATATATAACTTTGATTTTTTTAAAAGAATGGACAGAATATTTCTTGAATCCCTAACAACTACAGGATAAAATCCAAGGATCATCAGAGTTTTTTCTTTCTAGTTTTCCAGCCGCTAGTTTTGCTCCACCTTACAACTTGTCGTACTCCTAATGATAGCATTCTTCTGTCTTTGTCGATTTCCTCTTGTTCCTTCTAGACAGACCTAGTCTCCTCTATGATGCCTTTCTCTCCTGCTTCAATTAATCTCTCTTCCTAAATACTTGACTCTTTCACATATAAATCCTGTTTCTTTGGTTAAATTATAAACCTCTCCAGAGTAGAGGCTGGGTCTTACCCCTTTCATCCTTATGTCTGACACCTAGTATATCATCTTTTATATACTTTGTTTTTATTGATTTGTATAATCGTAACAAAGAAATGGGAACTTGAAATAGGGGTCAAGTTTCACTTCACATTTGTTATGGAACTACATTTAGACAGAATTTTATTTTTTCTTTTAGTTGTGTAAAAAACAGTTTCAGTACAGTGCCTCCTTGCGAGCACATCTTATTCGACATACCAGAAAAGATGCACCCACTTCATCCTCTTCCAATTCCACGTCTAATGAGACATCAGGAACATCGTCGGAGAAGGGGAGAACCAAACGAGAATTTATATGTTCCATATGTGGAAGGACATTACCTAAGTTATATTCTCTTCGAATACACATGTTAAAGCATACAGGTGTAAAGCCACATGCGTGCCAGGTAAAGCCATGACATTTACTTTGTTGGATGAAGAAAATTTGAACTTAACTTGTGATGAGACTTGTTGATTCTGGAAGTCACCGTTACTCTTGTAAAATGTCACAGAGAATTCTATGACTTACTTTGTTGCCTGGTTTAAAGGCAGTTCCCAGTTGTGTTCTTTGATTTGCTATTTAATTTGTTGTAATTTGAAATTAATCCATTTAGGGTGTTCATGAAACTTACTAGGATTCAGTGGATGTCCTAGGTGAGAATAACCAGTTCATTATCCCATTCATCCCTTTAACCTTCACCAGGACCTACCTGGACTGGAAAGGAACCCATGGCTTAAACAAATCTTCTTAGCAAAAATCCTCCCTAAGCTTTGTGTTCTCTGGAGCTGAGGACTGGGACTATCTAAATGCCAAAATACAACTTCTAGGTAAAGAATCCTGTGATTAGCCAACTTGGGCTATTTGGAACAGTGAAAATTTTCCAATAGCCCCTGTAGCCTTGCATATAAGTATGACTTGTTTTTTTATTAATAAACAATTTTGCAAACCATGAGACTTTTTCCCCAATGAGATTTTTAATGTTTTTCTCTTTTTTAAAGCTTTTTATTATATGAGAATAGAATAGACTCTCATGTACCCTTTATCCAGCTTCAGTAGCTATGAACACATGATCAGCTGTGTTTTATGTACACTATCCCTCACTGCCCTACTTCCTCCTCCCCACATTTCTCTTAAAACCAAGTCCTAAGCATCATTTTACTCATAAATTTTAAAACTAAGTATTAATTGGGCCTCTGGTCTTGTAGTGTAGCACTACTCAAAATATGTGGTCCATTGAAGATAAGTACAGAAATAGTAGAATTTTAGAAACTGTCATGGCAGTTACATTGTTGTGACATTTTTATCATATTTAATGGAAAATGGATTGGGGAATGGAAAACTGGTTCCTCACCACAGAGAGTTTGAGAAGCACTGTTCTAGTTTGTGTTGTAAGAAGTTAGTATATTTTCTTGATTAAGCTGTCATGTCTCTTTTAATACTGTTTACTAGTCTCACAAGGACAGCATGAGGGTCTTTTGTATGGCTTTGACCTCCAATGGATATAAGAAAAGCAGTGGTATTTGTTCAGTACTGAGTCAGAGGATGGTTAGCCAGCTAATTTCCTTGACATTTGTTCAACTTTCAGGTTTTCGTTTTGTTTATAATTATTTTCTTTAAAATGGTGTATAGTCTCTCTAGCCTCATTGTTCAGAAACAGCCCTGATGTCTCTTTTCTGTTTTACTGGTATAAACACCTCTGCTACCTTAGGTCTGTGGCAAGACTTTCATCTATAAACATGGCCTAAAATTGCACCAGAGTCTCCATCAATCACAAAAGCAGTTCCAGTGTGAACTATGTGTTAAGTCATTTGTTACCAAACGGAGTCTGCAAGAACATATGAGTATTCACACAGGTAATGAGAAATTTGTATTAACTTAGTTACCCATTATATACTGTTAATTCACTGTTAATGATTATGCTGTATCTGTTTTAGAAATCATATTGATAGACTAATGGCTATGTGTGTGCAGTTTCTTTATTAAAGTAAGGCTAGAGGCTCCTGGGTGCCTCAGTCGGTTAAGCATCTGACTTTGGCTCAAGTCATGATCTTACAGTTCACAAGTTTGAGCCCCACATTGGGCTCTGTGCTGACAGCTCAGAGCCTAGAGCCTGCTTCGGATTCATATTCTCTCTCTCTCTCTCTCTCTCTCTCTCTCTCTCTCTGCCTCTCTGCCTCTCTGCCTCTCTCCCATTTGTGCCCTGTCTCATTCTCAAAAATAATGAGAATGAGAATAAGCCAAGAAGTATTCTTTAATCTAGTTGTAGAATTGTCTTATTGGTATAAAAAGAGTCATTGTTTCCCTCAGTGTAGCAAAATGTATACTCAGTACTGAATTATGTATCATTTAGATAATATAAAAGTAGCTAGTGAAGGGTAGATATCTGCTCTAGAACTTGTTCACCTCTGTACTATTATAATCCAGATGATTATGCAAGAGTGTCATTTTCTTTGGGGAGTGGTAGCTTTGCTAGTACTGTAGTTGAGAGGAAACAAATCTTGACTTGGCTTGTTGTTCTGAGAAGATGGCTGCCAAATGTTACAGCTTTTGTGTCCCTTTGACAAAGTAACTTCTGAAGTATAACAGAAGGTATTCTGTTGGAAGAGCACCTGATTGCTTGATTTGTGACTTGCTTTTTTATTTTTTATAGGAGAGTCCAAGTACCTTTGCTCAGTTTGTGGAAAGTCTTTTCACAGGGGCTCTGGCCTCAGCAAGCACCTAAAGAAACACCAGCCAAAGCCTGAAGTTCGAGGCTATCATTGTACTCAGTAAGTATTTAATACACAAACTGTTCCGTTTCCTTGTGTTTTTTAATAGGTTTATTTGAAAATTATTTTCGGGGGCGCCTGGGTGGCTCAGTCAGTTAAGTGTCCGACTTTGGTTTAGGTCATGATCTCACGGCTTGTGGGTTCGAGCCCCACATCAGGCTCTGTGCTGACGGCTAGCTCAGAGCCTGGAGTCTGCTTCAGATTCTGTGTCTCCCTCTCTCTCTGACCCTCCCCTGCTCACGCTGCCTCTGTCTCAGAAATAAATAAAACATTAAAAAAAAAAAAAAAAAGAAAGAAAAGAAAATTATTTTCAGAAGAAAATATTTGAGTTAACTGTAGTTGATGGTACTATTATGTAATTGAAATTTGATAAAGGAGTACAACTTAAACATACATATATCTGATGTGATGAATATATAACTAGATGGGAGGAATCCTTTCACAGTGGATATGTGTATCAAACCATTATATACATTTCAAATATCTTACAATTTTATACCTTGATAAACCTGAAAAAGAAATGTTTGAAGATAATATTGAATTGTTACTTATTTTTTATTTTAATCAGTCTTTTTTCTTTTTGCCTTGATACTGCTGTTTATGGCTTTTAAGTTTTATTTCGATATCATATACCATGTAAATCACTCACTTGAAACACTTTATTATTTACTATTTTTTAAAATATTTATTTATTTTTAAGAGAGAGAGAGACAGAGCATGAGTCGGGGAGGAGCAGAGAGAGAGAGGGAGGCACAGAGTCTGAAGCAGGCTCCAGGCTCTGAGCTGTTAGCACAGAGCTGAACACGAGGCTCGAACTCAGGAACTGTGTGATCATTACCTGAGCTGAAGTTGGATGCTTGACCAGCTGAGCCACCCAGGTGCCCCTCACTTGAAATACTTTAAAGACATTCTTCATGTGTACTGCCTGGACTTGGAGACTGTAGGAAGTAAGGGCCCCTAGTGCGAGCCAGAGATTTTTTTCCAGACAGTTCCTCTAAAGTGCTGAGCCATCTGCTAGTTTTTACTCTCTTCAGACTCTTTTCTTCTCTCTTTCTTTTTATTTTCCAAAGGCTCTTGAAATCGCTTTCATAATTGAGGTAAAACTCACGTAAAATTCATCATTTTAAAATGTACAATTCAGTAACTTTTAGTACATTTGGTACATTGTGCAGGCATCACCACTGTCTGATATTCCAGAATGCCTTCAACACTCAGCCAGGCAGTCACACTATATCTTGGCCTTCTCTTCTCTTCTCTTCTCTTGGCCTTCTACTTCTGTGCAGAGTAGGCCAGAGGTGAGGTTAGGACTTTCTCAGGTCTTTTCTAGGTATATATTGCCCTCGGCAAGGGTGTGGACTTATCAGTTTCACAGCCATCTTACTCCCCAGCCTTTTCTCCCAAGCTTTTGTTTCTGTATTGTTTGAACCAAATTGTTATACCTTGCCCCATGTGGTGGAAATGAATACATTTATCTCTATAAATGTTTTCAGTGGACTTCTTTCCCCCTCGTCCTCCGCTCTAAGACAGTTAGGCTAAGTATATGCAGGCTCTTTGAGGAGATCCTTGAGGGAGTCACCGGATAGGTCCAGAGAGACCAGCACAGTTCTCGGAGATGAAGTCCCTCTGGCACTGGGAGCCCATCCCGGGAATGCAGTCTTCATGGCTGCTGCTCAGCTGGGAGGCAGGGAAAAGAGCCAGGGGACTTCAGCTGCTGCAAAGCTCTCTTGCAAGATTTAATGATTGTTTTGGGGCGCCTGGGTGGCTTAGTCGGTTAAGCGTCCGACTTTCGCTTTGGTCATGATCTCGCTGTTCGTGGGTTCGAGCCCTGCGTCGGGCTCTGTGCTGTCTGTCAGCTCAGAGCCTGGAGCCTGTTTCAGTCTGTGACTCCCTCTCTCTCTGACCCTCCCCTGCTCACGCTGTCTCTCTCTCTCTCCTAGAAATAAATAAAACATTAAAAAAAAAAAAAAAGATTTAATGATTGTTTTAATTAAACGTTTGCCTGGCTGCTTTTAATCCGTTTCCAGATTATAATAAAATGGATTCTCATAGTTTTGGCCACTGCTTATGTGGAGCAGTGAGCTTGTGGTGTTCCCTACTCTGCCATATTTGCTTTTGTCACTTTAATAAGTCTTATAAAAAAACTGTTTTAGGGGTACCTGGGTGGCTCAGTTGGTTAAACATCTGACTGCAGCTCAGGTCATGAGCTCAGTTTCTGGGTTTGAGCCCCACATAGGGCTCTGTACTGAACAGCTCAGAGCCTGGAGCTTGCTTCAGATTCTGTGTCTCCCTCTCTGTTCCTCACCTGCTCGCACTCTTTCTGTCTCTCAAAAATAAAGACTTTTTAAAAATTAAAGATAAATGAAAAAATCATTTTATTATTAATAGATTTTTAGTTGCAAGTGAAAGAAAATCCTACCTAAACTGGCCTGAATGAAAGAAAGGTAAAATCTAGGGAGTCTGAATAGTTTAATGTAAACTTGATTCACACTCGTTAGCACTTGGTCTCCGAGGCTCTGTGGACATGGCAGTAGCAATGGTTTAAGCCTCACATCCTCTTAACTCCCAAATTATCAAGCTGCTTTTCTGGTAGTTCTATACAGGTTCTGAGTCATTTGATTATCCCTGGATCAGTAATTATGACCAAGGGAATACTGTGTTTTGATTGACTTAGGCCTGAGACAGTTGCTCCATCTTTATGGTCAAGGGTGAGACCTACTCCAAGCACATGGACAGAGAATGGGCAAAGGTAAAAGGGAGTTCGACGGGGGTTAGGGAGAGAAAGAAGATAAATGTCTTATATAATAGCCTTTGAGAACTCTGCATGGTTCTTTCTAAAATGTTTCTAGTACTAGAAACAAGTGAGCAAAGGGAAAAAGTCAACAACAGAATCTTAATTTTAGAAAACAAACCGATGGTTGCCAGAGGGGCCATGAGTGAGGACATGGGTTAAATAGATGATGGGGATTGAGGAGTGCAGTTGTTTCGATGAGCACCAGGTGTTGTATGGAAGTGTTGAATCACCATATAATACACCTAGTATCACATTGTAGGTTAACTTACTGGAATTTAAATAAAAACTTAAAAAAGTAAAACGTCTGTAGTAGATAAGAGCTAAAAGAACTTAAACCTTGAAGCCTTTGTTGCAAGATTGGAATAGTAGCACATTCTTATGTTTTAAATTGGTATCACTTTCTAAGAGTTCTAGAAACCCAAGAATATACTGAGTCTTGGAAATATGTTTTAAAAAATAATAAAGTGATCTGATCGAGTGCTTGAATTTTATTGCAGATGTGAAAAAAGTTTCTTTGAAGCTAGAGATCTTCGTCAGCACATGAACAAACATCTTGGTGTGAAGCCATTCCAGTGCCAATATTGTGATAAGTGCTATAGTTGGAAGAAGGATTGGTATTCCCATGTGAAGTCTCATTCTGTCACTGAGCCTTATAGGTAGGTAAATTTGAACAGGATCTGAACTTAATTGAGATGTATGTACGTGGTTGGATTAATTTTTTTGTATGCTGGTGCTTTGGAAAAAATAATTGAGGTTTCTCCCCCCATTATAGGTGTAATATATGTGGCAAAGAGTTTTATGAAAAAGCATTGTTCAGAAGGCACGTCAAGAAAGCTACCCATGGAAAAAAAGGAAGAGCGAAGCAGAACCTGGAACGGGTGTGTGAACAATGTGGAAGAAAATTCACTCAGCTAAGAGAGTATAGGAGACACATGAACAACCACGAAGGTAACTACATACTGTGTATATATTTAAGTAGAATAAAAAGCCACTCTAATAGTGATTCTCCCTTTGCCAGACTTCTTGCCTGTTACCTCACCTTCCTTGACAAGAGATGAATCTCATATTATGTAAGATTTATTAATTGATTGAGGTGATCGTGAACCTGGATGCCTAATTGTTGTGTATGTAGACAGCTTCCTTCCATAGTGAGCTTAATATTGTAGGTCAGCATTTTTATGCTGGCCTGAACTGTTTGAAGCTTCTGTTTTCCTTATCCTAAGATTATAGGATTGTTGGGAAGGTTAAATGAGACTGTGCATGGAACCAGAATTGCCTCTCGTTAACTTCTGTCTCTGGGAACACCTCTCTCTCTTTTTTAATAGGAGTTAAGCCATTTGAATGCTTAACGTGTGGAGTAGCTTGGGCTGATGCCCGATCTCTAAAACGCCACGTCAGAACACATACTGGCGAGCGGCCCTACGTCTGCCCTGTATGTAGCGAAGCCTACATAGACGCTCGAACCCTCCGGAAACATATGACTAAATTCCACAGAGATTATGTGCCTTGCAAAATTATGCTGGAAAAAGATACCCTTCAGTTTCATAACCAAGGAACTCAAGTGGAGCATGCTGTCAGTATCTTAACAGCAGACATGCAGGAACAAGAAAGCAGTGGTCCTCAAGAACTCGAGACGGTGGTCGTGACAGGAGAGACCATGGAAGCACTCGAAGCCGTTGCAGCTACGGAAGAGTGTCCCTCAGTGTCTACGCTTTCTGACCAAAGTATTATGCAAGTGGTTAATTACGTGCTGGCACAACAGCAAGGACAGAAGCTGTCTGAAGTTGCAGAAGCGATTCAAACTGTTGAAGTAGAGGTGGCACATATCTCAGAAGCAGAGTGAATATAGTCCTGGAGATAAAAAGAAGGGGCATCTCACTGTATATGGAACTCACGGAACAGTGTTTACAGTGCTGTGGGACTGTCTGCCTAGAGCCTGTATGTCAAGGCTCTGGGCTCTTGGGTGCGGTTTTAACATTTCTAAACGATTTGTCTGGCCGAAAGGTTCTGTTAAAAAGTCCAGTTACTGTAAAGAAATTGGAAACAAATCTACTTGATGGCATTGGTTTATCATGGTGTACTTTTTATGAATTGGTGTTTATAAAGGACTGTACTAAATTAAAAACTGTATAGTTTCACTTGCATTTTGACATTATTATATACTTTGAGTTTAAAAGGCTGCACTAGTCAGATTTTCTTCTCTTTTATTCTCAGAATAGGTTCTGTGATTTCATTTGCCCTGTTTATAGGTTTAAAAAAAATTCTAATATAAAGCATTTTAGTAGGATGCATAGGTATATTACATTTTTAAAATGCTTCAGATCTGTGATTCTTGACTTACTATTTATTTTAACCCCTTCTGTTTTAAAGCACTTAATGAATTACATGTTGTAATCAAGTTTGCACAGTATACTTATCTATATGAGGAGCCCTTAAATAAATAGCTGATTTTTAAAATGCATGAAATGCCTATTAAAGCCTTACTATATACTATCTCTTCAAGGCAAGTAAATTGACCATGAGCAAAGAACACTGTTATTAAACACTGTTGGTGGGAAATTTCTTCTTGATAACATGGGACAATAAATGAAAAAAAATCTCATTCTTTTGCTGAAAGAATGAACGAGTTAAAACTAGATTTGGTATGTTTGCAGCTTTTGTATCATGTTCAATTGTTCAATTTTGTTGAAAAACTGCAATTTAGAAGTAGGATAGCCATATAGACATCTAAAGCGGTCCAGAGGATACCACATAATTGTCGAGTTACTTCAGAATAGTGAAGTCTTCAGTTCAGCCCTCATTATAGTATACTACTCAAAGAAATTGATTATGGTCCACCAAATTATTGGAAGTAAATTATTTTTAAGTTACCTACAAGTCATATTAATTTGTGTATTTATTTTTAAATTCCCACTTCTAGAAACTATCCAATTTTCTGATTTTCACAATAACCCTAGGGAGAGGCCACATTCCTCTCCTGTGGGAAACTACCACTCAAACTACGATTGTCAAAAAGTATTAGCAGCTAATATAAGGTAAAATGAAGATAAGCAAATCACATGTAAATCATTCCTAAAGCACAAGAAAAGAATGTGCCTTGATGTACATATATTATTAGGAAACTTATTCCAGTTTACTTTAAAAATAGCTTAAAAGATAAAGAATAAATGTGATGCCATGCATGCATTATACCTGCATATGTAATATTTGCATTTGCAATTTTCCCATTGTTTCTCTAGCTGTGTGGCTGACTTTGAATTTTAAGTGAATTGACATACAGTCTATAACTTTATAATGGCTGCTTGTTTATCGTATTTTTCAGTTAGTGAAAATGTATTTCAACCTGACTAAAATTTGGAATTGTGTCTTTTATGTTCCATCTTCACTGTTGTTATTAGATTTAGTTAATTGTATAAGTCCATTGATGTATGTCAAAAATATGTAAATAAAAGATGTAGAATCTTGTTTAAAAGCATAAGCTTTGGAGTTGAGCTTGTCACTATTTTCAAATCATAAATCAGTGACTGATAATTGATAGGTTGTTAAAGTTAATCCATTTTTAAAGGGAAGGGGAGTTGAATACATTAAAAAAAAACATTGGACGTTAAACCATAATCATACTAAAAGTTACTCTTAGGCATAATTTTACCACAAAATGATTAACTGCCAACTTTGACAGAACTGAGTTTTTTATTGTTTTTTCACTGAAGATGTAGTTCTTAACTGGTCCCAGGGTTTTGTTTTTGTTTTTTTCTTAAAGTAGGCTCCACGCCCAACATGGGGTTTGAAATCCTGACCCTGAGATCAAGAGTCACATGCTCTGCTGACCGAGCCAGCCTGGTGCCCTGTTGTCTCAGTTTTGTGTGGAATTCCTTTTTCCATTTTCTGTAGACCTAAATCCTGTCAAAAGCCAACCCCTCCGAAACTGCCAATCCTGTCTGTCACAAGGCTGCTGCAAGTTTAACGGTTTCTTCTTTGGGGACCCTAGGACATTGCCTTTCTTACGAATTTAGCACTATGATTTTCAAAGGAGTTTGTTACATTTTATCAAGTGGAGAGTTTCAGGGATTTTAATCTCTTCCCAGCTCTGGAAACCAAACCAAATCATGTTGTTTCTTTATATATTCTCCCCTGTTTACTCTTTATTTCCAAAAGTTTTATCTCCACCCTCAATACCTCTTTCGTTCTCCCCATCTTAGTCTCCCTTTCTCATAACCGTGGTGTTCCTCAACCTGATCTTTAACTGTTCTTACTAAATTATATATTCATTTAAAAAATTTCTGGGGGCACCTGGGTGGCTCAGTCAGTTAAGCATCTTTTTTAAAGTTTATTTTGAGAGAGCGAGCAAGTGGGGTAGGGACACGCAGAGAGAATCTCAAGCAGGCTCCATACTGTTAGTGCAGAGCCCTAGGCAGAGCTTGAATTCACAAACCATGAGATCATGACCTGAGCCAAAATAAAGAGTTGGACACCTAACCCACTGAGCCACCCAGGCACCCCTAAGTGTCCGACTCCTGAGCTTGGTTCAGCTTATGATCTCATGGTTTGTGGGTTCTAGCTCTGCATTGGGCTCTGCACTGACAACATGGAGCCTGCCTGAGATTCCCTCTGCCCCTCCTCTTTCTCTAAATAAACTTAAAAATATATATATATATTTCTGGGTGCCTGGCTGGCTCAGCAAGTAGAGCATGCACCTCTTGATTTCAGGGTCATGATTTCAAGCCCTATGTTGGGCATGGAATCTACTTTAAAAAAATAAAGACCAAAGGGCACCCACCTGTTGATTTTGGCTCAGGCCAAGGTCCCAGGATCATGAGATGGAGTCCTACATCAGGTTCCATGCTCAGCTCTGCCCCTCTCCCCTGCTCAATCTCTTTCTATCAAATAATAAGTAATAATAATAGAGATTGAAAAAATTAATGTTTATTTGAGAGAGCATGAGCGGGAAGGGGCAGAGAGAATCCCAAACTGGGTCTGCACTGTCAGCTCAATCTTATGAACATGAGATCATAACCTGAGATGAAATCAAGAGTCAGATGCTTAGCCAACTGAGCCACCCGGGCACCCCTAAAATTATATTTCTTATACTAGCATTTACAGTTGTTTCTTCATAGGTGTTTATTCCTGCTTTCCCTTTTCCATTCATCTTATCTTGCTAGTTGGATGTATTATGTTCATTTTAAATTCTTACTGTGTTCTGTGTGCGCTGCAAAAAAAACAAAACAACAACAACAAAAAAAACGTGTATATACCACAACTTCACATTCTACCATTGATGGGATGTTTGGGTTATTTTCAGTTGGGGGTTATCCTGAAAAATGCTGTAAGGACCATATTTATTTCCTTGGTGTTTATGGGCATGCATTTCTGTTGGGTACATGACTTACAGTAGAATCTGAGATACTTGGATTTGTGAACCAAAATATTTTCCAAAGAGATTATGCCAGTTACACTCCCCAGTGGTGGCTGCTCTGCATCCTGGCTTTCCTTACTGTGTACCATTACGACATGTATGTGCTTCGTATCCCATGTTGTTTTAATTTACACTGCCCAGATGACTAATAAAGCTGAACATCATTTCATATATTTGCAGCCCATTTACATATCCTTTTTGTAACGTCATTAGACATCCTGCCCATTTTTTAGATTGTCTTTTTTCTCTTTCTGAAAACAAACCATTTGTTACTGTTTTGCAATTGCCATCTCCCATTTTAGAGCTTATCTTTTCATTCTTTTTTTTTATTTTTTTAATGCTTTTAATTTATTTATGAGGGTCAGAGAGAGAGCGTGAGCAGGGGAGGGTCAGAGAGAGAGACGCACACAGAATGTGAAACAGGCTCCAGGCTCTGAGCCAGCTGTCAGCACAGAACCCAACACGTGGCTCGAACCCACGAACCATGAGATCATGACCCGAGCCGAAGTCGGATGCTCAACCAACTGAGCCGCTCAGGCACCCCTTCATTCTCTTAATGGTATCTTTTGATGAATGTAAGTCTTTAATTTTAATGTAGCCCCAATTTATAAATTTGTGCCCTTTTACAAAATCTTTCCCTGCCCAAAGATTATAATATTTTCCAATCTTATCTTTTAAAAGCTTTCTACTTTTGCCTTTTATATTTAGATCTATAATCCGTCTGAAATAGAGGTAGGTGTCAAGCTTTTTTATATGTAAAGATTTCCAGTTATGCATACAATTTTCTGAATACACTGATTTTTTCCATTGTTCAGCAATGCCATCTTATAAATCAAAGGTACATGCATATGTAGATTTTTTTCTGGAATCTGTTCTGCCTCTGCTTTATTTCTATATTATTTCACCAATTCCTTGCAATATCAAATTGCAACAACACTAAATCCTTACAGTAATTAAGACCACACTGTCTTAGTTTCTTAATTATTGTGGATTTATAATAATTTTGATATCTAATATAATAAATCTTCCCATTTTGTTCTTCAGATTGTCTTGTATGCTCTTTCCCTGTAAAATCTATAATGAATGTACCAATTTCTGTAATAAAATCCTGTTGGGATTTTGACTGGAATTGCATTGAATTTACAGAGATCAGTTTGGAGGGAATTGATATATTTATAATTGAATTTTCATTTCATGAACATATTTCTTCACTTATGTAAGTCATCTTTAATATCTCTCAAAATGTTTTACAGTTGGTGTAAACAGATATATTTATACAATTGTGAATGCTATTTTTTATTTTTCAGTTTGTTGGCATATAAATATACAAAACACTTTTGTATATTAAGGGAACTTTCATCTGATAAATGCTGTCTACAAACTACAGCAAACCATTCCAAAAGATGAAATGGTTAAAATTTTCTGATATTGGAAATAAGACCTTTTATCCAACAACCTTTCTAAATTCCCTTATTAATTTCAATAGTTTTGACTGTCTCAATATCCAATTAGGTTATCTGCAAATAAGTTTTATATCCCCTATTCCAATTCTAGCTTGCCTTACTGATCTCTATAGGACTTCTAATGCAATGTTAAGTAGATGTGATAATTGGCATCCTTATCTCTTCCCATCTCAGAGTGGAAATCTGAGATTAACATGGTGAGGTAGATACCTTCAGAATGGGGGCTTATTGCCAGAAAAACTGACTATGTGATTAGAATTAGAACTTTTAGCCCCACCCCCCAACCTCCAGAAGAGAGGAGAAGGCCTCCAGCTATTAACTGATTTTTTCTTTAAGATTTTTAAAAATACTT